AAGAAGTGCAGTGTAAGAAAACCCAGCATTTTAATTACTTGCAAATTAAGTCACCACAGACTCTGTAGTGTGTAAATGTTGACGAGGAATTGGATCACAATCATGTAGCAGAACGGCACCCAGACTACTGCCGCTAGTGATGGACACCCACGTGGAAGATCGGATTTCCAGCCCATGGAGCCAGCATTTGAACCTTGTACAATTAACTTTCAGTTATGATTTCCCATCCACATTTTCTTTGCTCTGTTTGTAGCTGAATTTTGTGTTTTATAACTCCTCTGTTCAAGCAGAAGGATGATTATGAGTGGGTCACAGCAGCCCTTAAAAGCTGGGCCAGAAAATTTCACTAGGTCAGTAATTTAAACTTTGGATCTGAAAAAAAAAAAAAAAAAAAAAAAAAAAAGTAATAATAATGTGAAACAAAACCAACTAAAAAGTGATTCTTGCACATGAACTGTCACATGTTTAAAATGTGTTTTTTAGAGAGCCTCAGTCTTGCTGATTTCAAACACTTTTTTCTTCTGTGTATTGCTTTTAAAAGAGCCATCAGTTAGCTATCAAACTCTAGGTTGATGCATTTTGTACTTAGCTGTACTGTGTGATATTTTTCATTATTTTAGGACGCCAACATGAGACCTGTAATAAAATATGTAATGGGGTTGAAAGCTGGGGAGGAGGACCTACTGCTGTACAGCTAATAAATCATAACGGATTAACAAGTGCTCCAGATACTCCGTCGTGTGTGATCTCTGCCTGATGGGGGCCCCAGAGGGCCCACACTCATGGCCTCAGGCAGTGCAGGCCTGGCCACCTTTCAGAGGCAAGCTCTGTACCACAGGATGGCCATTTCCTCCCTAGCACTTAGGAGATGATCTTGGTAAATGGTTGGATCGAGTGCATCCTGTCACAGGTTTTAACTCCCCAAAGGTGTGTGTGAGTAGCGAAGTGTGGATGGACTGCTATCAGCCCCCATGGTCCACCTTAGGAGTTGGTTCCTACAGCAGGGGTAACCACAGATGTTAGAGAAGGGGCTCATGGGAAGTTCTGCACTCTGGATCTCCCCTCACTGAGGGCGGGCTCACTTGAGCCCAAGTGCAGGACAACAGAAGCTGGGCCCAGTTTGCTCTAGAGAGGCTAATTTAGGAGGGGGAGACACATGTAGTCTAGTCACCAGGCTGCAGGGAGAGAGACTCAGATGGCGTAGCTTGTTAAGCACTGCAGGAGAGACAGGGTGGAAAGGGAGTTGGAATAGGAAGTTGATGCATTAGTGAAACATCTTGATGCTGCTGGCCGTTTCTGGGCAGATAGCTTTGGCAAACCCATTTTAGGTAAAATCTTCAGCCACTAATTATAGGGCTTTTAAACCAGAATCCCGAATTAGCGGTTTTCAGTGAGAAGTAACAAGTTGAGATGTGTGTGGCCTTTGGCTGCTCGTACTGTCTACATAGACCCGTCTCCCAGGAAAACAGGTAGCTGAGGCCTCAAAATCTGAGCCTTGCAGTCAGTTCCTTGGGTCGAAAGTTGTCAGAATATTGGGTCTCTGTCATGCATGGGCCAACCCTCGTGGGGGCCAGAGTACCCCCTTCCAGAATTGTTCCAGTGGCCATAGAGTTTTGTAAACTTTCTTGGTGTTTATGACAAAATCTCTGCAGAACAGTGAGGCCTTTATCTGTATTTTCAGCATAGCTTTTTCTCATTGTGTACAAATTGAAAGTGTAAAGTATGTTTGGGTTGGGGAGGGGGCAAGAAATGTCACATTCTGATGGAAGAGACGCTGAAAAGTGATTCCTCATTGCATAGCCCATGATGTATCCTGTGTGAGTCCATTATATACATACAGCCTTATACTTAAAATATAAATCGGGACACCTGGGTGGCTCAGTTGGTTAAACTTCCAACTTTGGCTCAGGTCGTGACCTCACAGTTTATGAGTTTTGAGCCCCTCGTCAGGCTCTGAGCTGACATCTCAGAGCCTCTGCTTCAGATTCTCGGTCTCCCTCTCTGCCCTGCCCTGCTTGCTCTCTCTCAAAAATAAACATTTAAAAATAAATACAGGGGCGCCTGGGTGTCTCAGTCGGTTAAGCGTCCAACTTTGGCCCAGGTCATGATCTCATAGTTCATGAGTTCGAGCCCCACGTCAGGCTCTGTGCTGACACCTTGGAATCTGGAACCTGCTTCGGATTCTGTGTCTCCCTCTCTGCCCCTCCCCAGCTCATGCTCGCACACTTGTCTGTCAAAAATAAATTTAAAAAAAAATTAAAAATATATTTTTATTATATTTATATATAAACAAAGTACAGAAGCCAATTCTCATGGTTAGTCCTCACCAGAGAACTTTTGATGCAGAAGTTCTCTGACCTGTCTGCTGTTCCCCATTATTAAGCCAATAGCAAGTACTGGAGTAAAATATTCTCTTTCCACACCTGGATTGGTACCACCCTCCCCTGCTGCCCGGCAAGGTGCCCAGCAAGCACCTGAGTCCTCTTGCCTTTGGTCAGGACCTAGCTGGTTTTTTTGTTTTTTTAACCATTTGTTTTTGGGAGAGTGCAAACAAGGGAGGAGCAGAATGAGGGGAACAGAGGCTCTGAAGCGGGCTCTGCGCTGACAGGCTGAGAGCAGTGAGCCCGATGTGGGGCTCAAACTCATGAAACCACGAGATCATCACCTGAGCCGAAGTTGGAAGCTCAACCCGCTGAACCACACAGGCGCCCCAGGATCTAGTCTTTTAAAACCATCTGAAGGGAGCCTTGTGGCAAACCTGGGAGGTGCAGCCTGGCCTGGCCTCATCCTGTGCTGCTGGAGCAGGCGGGGCTTATGCTTCCTTGTGAGCTTTAGCATTTCCTGAGCGCCCACGGAGTGTCACACCATCTAGAACACAGACAAGCTGAAGGGCTTGTCCCCTTCTCACTGAGTCACTCAACATGTTAGGAGCTGAGTCCCATGTGTTCACTTGGTTTCTGATAGCAGTGTGGTAGTTTTGTCACTGCCGCCCTGATCTCCATGCTGATTCTGGTTTCAGCAGCCTGTACCCACCCCAACAGCACTCATCAGACTGGGGTAGATGCCACCAATGTGTTGCTGGCCTTGAGAGTCCCTTTTGGCAGACATTCCCTCTTGTATTTCTTATCCTAGTCCATTCTAAACAGAGAAGTCCCACTGAGGTGGGTTTTCTATTACGGGGTCCTGGGGTTGCCATGGCAGACTTGGCAGATGTGGGTATTCACTGAGTGCCAGGCACTGTTGTGAGCACTTAAAAAGCATTTAATCCTTATAGCAACACTTTTGAGGCAAGTTAATAGCTCCAGCTTATGAAACAGGAAAGGAAGTCCGAAAAGGTTAAGTAACTTAGTGTGGAACAGCTGGAAAGAGTTGGGAGTCAGGACTTAAATTCAGGCAGTCGGCCTTTAGAAGCAGCATTCTTGTACCACTTGGTCACGCTTCAAGTGCAAGAGACCTACTGAGTTCTCACCCTAAAAGTAGCTTGTGGGTTCTATGTGGTCTTAGAAGGAATCCTAGTTCTTAAACCAAACACTTCTTTCAAACTGGGAGACGGCAGAGTAGGACTATCTCTTGCCTCTGTTTGCAGAAACTCTCAGCAACTTCTCCCGCTGTATCCTCCCATCAACCCTAGTCAGCCCTGTGCTTTCACACCATTGGCCTTTTGCTTGAGGGTAGGCTTTGCCCAAGCTGCTACTGTTCAGTTTCTACTGCCACTTTGTGTCAATCTTTGGTAGAGATGAGATTTTGTTAGGTGAGGGGGTGGAGGTGGGGGTGGGGTGGCGGGATGATCAGGTGACTGGAGGATGTTTCCACTTATCTCCAAGCCCTGAAGTGGGGAGGGATAGCTAAATGAGAATGAGACCAAGGCACCCTGCTCAGCATCCCTCATCTACTTTCAAGATTATGTCTTTCATCTCTGCCTGGCTGAGCTGTGGGCAGGGCAGAGGGCTGTTCCTAATAAGTGGAGTTTAATTGGATTGTAATGGAAGAAAAAAACAGTAATTCTTTTCCTGTGAACCCTCCAGAATCTAGGTCCCTGGTCTTTTATCTGGCAGCATGCTCTGGTTAGCAGGACCTCACCCCATGACCTACTGACCCCTCCCAGCCCTGGAGACACTAACTTTTTCCTTCAGTGGTTCCCCCCTCCCTAAACTCTAGCAGAGGTAAGGGCGTGCAGGAGGGAGAAGACACAGACACAGGAGAGGACTCCCATGTACCTAGCCTTTGCTCACCCCTGCCTGAAACACTTGGGGTTCAGGCCTTAGCCCAAGGCTTCCCCATGAAGGTACTCCCCACCTTCCAGCCCAAACCTGATGAAAGCTGGGGACTCTGTGCTCTAGAAAAGGGTATCTGAGCCCATCTGGCATTTTTTCGGCCTTTCAAAAGTTAGTGGATCTCGGGGGCACCTGGCTGGCTCAGTTGGTAAAGCAGGTGACTCTTGATCTCGGGGTTGTGAGTTCTATCCCCCCCATGCAGATTGCTAAAAAAAAAAAAAAAAAAAAAAAAGTTGGTGGCTATCCCACGGGGTCACATACTCCAGGTCAGGAGCAACAGATTAGTCCCTTCAGGCTAGGACCCGGGTGTTGGGAGAGCTACTGAGAGAGATTCGTTGCTCCTTGCTGAATAGGCACTCCTCCCGGCCCGCCCCTTGTCCACCTCCCCAGCTAGGTTTTGGAGGGGACCAACGCGGGTGGGCCGCAGGGATCCCCGAGCGGGCAGCGCCCCCTGGTGCTCGCGACAGGCACTGCGGTGAGGGGTGGAAGTAGGGGGCTAGAAATGGCAAGAGGCGCGCGCCACACGCACGACCCTCCCGGCCACACCACTCCTACCCGGTGTCTGTCTTGCCAGAGTAGCTCCTGCGCGACTGGGTGGGCGGACAGCTGGGACTCTGCCCCCCTCCTACATCTCCTGTCCCGCGGAGGCCGGGGCGGGGAGGAGCCGGGCTGGGGGCGGCCCGGCAGGAAGCAGCGCGTACCTTCCGCTGCAGGAGGAGCAGGTGGCTACAGTGCGGGCCAGGGCCCCCAGGCTTCCTGTGTGTGCGCCCGCCCGCTACTGTTTCTTGTCGGAGCTCGTTGGGCCATCCGGCGGCCCGGCCCGGCCCCATGGCCCAGACCCCCGACGGCATATCCTGTGAGCTGCGAGGTAAGCGCTGGCCCTTCCCGCGTACTTGGCTCCAAAGCCAGAAGCCCATCCAGCGTCCCGGAGCACCTGCAAACAGTTCTCTCTGCTTCTCGGAAGAGTTTGGTGCCCCCACATCCACTCTACTCCTTCCTTACTGGCCCATAGATGAGCCCAGGCCAGAAGCCTGGTGCAGACCATGGGCCTGAGTTGACCTTCCCAGGAGGACCAAAGTCACCCAGCAGGCTGCCATTCCACAGGCGAGATCACCAGATTCCTGTGGCCCAAGGAGGCTGAGCTGCTGCTGAAAACCTGGCTACCAGAACGGGAGGGTGCTGAGCGAGGTCATGTCTTGGTATGGCAGGGGGCAGAGCTTGGGAGGGCCACTGGGGCCCAGGAAAATAGAGTCTCTTGCCCTGCCCAGGGGGTGAGACACTCTCTTCCCCCAGGCACTGCTACGATGGAGAGCCTACCTGCTCCACACCTGCCTTCCCCTGAGGGTGAGTGCCAGGGGCTGACCACCACCCCACACCCCTTGCCCTCCAGCAGCTTTTTTGATGAGGGCTGCCTCCGCTGAGTTGTCTGTGCTCTGTGGGCTCTGCCCTGCCAATAGCACTGGGCTCCCCACAGCAAGCAGGGCGGGCTCTGAACTCTGGACTGCACGGACTGGGGTCCCAGAAGGGCAGGGCTAAGGCCTTGGTTCCAGCTGATTCAGGCACTCCACAGGTGGACTGCACATTCAGCTACCTGGAGGTCCAGGCCATGGCACTGCAGGAGACACCCCCTCAGGTGAGACACCTGGTACCCCACCACAGCCTGCAGCCTGGTCTTTGCCTCCTTTTCCACCTGCCCCCACACATGCCCAACCCAGCAGCCCTCCCTCCCCAGGTCACTTTTGAGCTAGAGTCTCTGCCTGAACTGGTCCTGGAGTTTGCTGGTGTAGCTGCCCTGGAACAGCTGGCCCAGCACATTGCTGCAGCCATCAAGAAGGTCTTCCCTCGCTCGAACCTTGGGTGAGGCCAGACAACTACAAGGGACCAGCAGGAAAGGAGGGCAGCAGGGGGTGCTCTGAATGACGCAAGTGGGTTGCCTCCCATCCTAGGGGCTACAAGTCCCCTGCCCCCTTTTCCCTTATCCCCTCCCCAGGAAGCTATTCCGGAAGCCCACATCCTCCTCCATGCTGGCTCGGCTGGAGAGAAGCAGCCCCTCCGAAGACACCTTGCCCAGCAGCCCCTGTGGTAAGGACCAAGAAAAGGGCACACAGAACTTTCAGCCTCCCCCCATCCTGCAGCCCCAGACCCCTGGATTGGGCGTCCCCCAAACTGAACAGTCACTCGAGGCACAGCCACCACCCAACTCGAATCTGATCTTCCTCCATGTCTGACCTTTTGTCTCTCTCCTCTTCCTCATCCATTTCACCTCTGGCACCTCCCCCAGGTGGCTTCTTGGAGACGTATGAGGCTCTGTGTGACTACAATGGCTTCCCTTTCCGAGAGGAGATTCAGTGGGTGAGAGTAGGGCCCTCCTTGTGGAGCTCTGGAGACATCTGACCCCCCACATGCATTGGGTCCCCTCTACCCTTTATGACCCAAAGCCAGTTGGAGACACCTTCTTCCCATCCAGGATGTGGACACCATCTACCATCGTCAGGGCTGCCGCCACTTCAGCCTAGGCGACTTCAGCCATCTGGGCAGTCGGTGTGTGGCCTTCCAGGACTGGGAAGGGAAGGAGATCCCATGACCCACATTCCTGGGCCTCAGCCTCTCCATGGAGGGGGGTGGTGGGCCTAGGAGGACCCTGAGCCCTGCCCCTTCCCCTTCTCTCACCCAGCGACCTGGCGTTGAGTGTGGCTGCCCTGTCCTACAACCTGTGGTTCCAGTGCCTCTCCTGTGTGGACATGAAGCTGGTGAGAGTGTAGGGGCAGGGAGGAGCCAAGGGTGTGGTGGCCAGGGTGCAGCTCATTGAGCCTCCACTCTGGTTCTCAGAGCCTTGAGGTCTCGGAACAGATTCTGCACATGTTGAGTCAATCGTCCCACCTGGAGGAGCTAGTGCTAGAGAACTGTGGCCTGAGGGGGTAAGGGGGAAAGGGTAGGGCTTGGAGACCGGAGTCTGGGGGCTTGGGTTTGGGCTTGGGAGGCTAGTGGCCTGGGGAGGAGATGGGAATCCAGGGTCAGAGTCTCACACCTGGGGTCTCGTCCCCAGAGACTTTGTCCGGCGACTGGCCCAGGCACTGGCAGGGCACTCGAGCTCTGCCCTCCGGGAGCTTAGCCTGGCGGGGAACCTGCTGGATGATCGAGGTACGGATGAACCTAGGGACCCCCAGGAGGCTGGTGCTAGAGGAGGTGAGAGCCACACAGCTGCCCCCAATTCCCCAGGCATGGCTGCTCTCAGCAGACACCTAGAGTATCGTCCTGGAGCCCTGAGGAAACTCAGCCTAGCGCAGACAGGGTTGACAGCTCGAGGTAGGTGGGGTGGTCAGAGCGGGGAGGGGAGGTGAATCCGCCTGATTGCTGAGCCACTCTCTCCACCACAGGAATGAGGTCTCTGGGCCGGGCACTGGCTTCCAATGTGGCCTTTGACTCTGCCCTGACCCACTTGGATCTTTCCGGGAACCCTGGGGCGCTGGGGTCCTCGGAGGACAGTGGGGTGAGTGGCTGTCTTTAGGGCCAATGATTGGGGGCGCTGCAGACAGTGGGATGTCAGGAAGCTCTTGGTGAGGTGATCCCTGACTCCCTCCCTCCCACGCCCATCCTCCCACCAGGGCCTCTATAGTTTCCTGAGCCGTCCTAATGTTCTGATGTTCCTGAATCTCGCGGGCACCGACACCGCCCTGGACACTGTGAGAGGGTGGTCAGTGGGGGGATGATCGGTAGGGCCGGTGGCCGGGCCCGAGACCTGAGGGTAGACCCGTGGGGGGGAGGCGGGGGGCTCAATCTATCGCCGGTGTAGCCTACACACTCTTCCCGCAGCTCTTCGCAGCGCTGGCCGGCGGCTGCTGCGCTAGCCTCAGCCACCTGGACGCCTCGAGGAACGTCTTCTCCCGCACGTAAGGGGGGCGGGTCCGGGCGGGGTAAGGGGAGACGGCGGGGAGCCGCCTCCTTGCGCCCGGAAGCCCACTCCTCCCGCTCGCCCACCCCAGGAAGTCCCGGGCTGCGCCCGACGCGCTCCAACTCTTCCTCAGCCGTGCGGAGACGCTTCGGCACCTGGGCCTGGGGGGCTGTAAGCTGCCGCCCGACGCGCTCAGGTCAGTGTCGCTGCCTACGGTTACGCCCCGGTGTGTGCGGCCACCACCCAGGCCGGGGCCCCAGAGCTTCACCCCGCTCCTATCGCCCCCTCGACCTTCCGGTATCCTGCCCCTTCCTTCTTGGTATTCGTTCGCGCCCTGGGGCCCCCTTTCCCGGCTCCCGCCACCCCCTGTGACATCCTCTCCCAGGGCCCTTTTGGAAGGCCTTGCGCTAAACACGCACACGGGCGACCTGCACCTGGACCTCAGCGCTTGTGAGGTGAGCGCCCGGCCCGAGACGTGATCAGGCAGTGGGCGCACGCGGAGTGGGGCCGCGAGGCGGTGAGCGCCGGCCATTGGGCGCCTGAGCCTCTGCACCTGTGGCCTGTCGGTCTGAGCTTGTTTCACCTTCCACCTTCAGCTGCGTTCAGCGGGCGCTCAGGTGATACAGGACTTAGTGTGCGACGCCGGCGCAGTGAGCTCCCTGGATCTGGCGGATAATGGTGAGGCTGCCCGGAAACCCACCCTCCCACTGCCCAACCAGTTCCCACCTCATCCCCAGCCTCGCCGTATGCGTGATCCGAGCCACCCCTAGGCTTCGGCTCAGACATGGTGACTCTGGTGCTGGCCATCGGGAGGAGTCGGTCCCTGCGACATGTGGCACTTGGAAGGAACTTCAACGTCCGGTGCAAGTGAGTCCCCATCCCACTCACTCCCGGGCCTCCCAGACAGCACCCCACCACCCCACCCAGGTCCTTCCAAACCGCGGCCCCTGCCCCACAGGGAGACCCTGGACGACGTCCTGCACCGGATTGTCCAGCTCATGCAGGATGATGACTGTGTGAGTTCTTGGGACAATGTGGGATCCTCAGGCAATGGACCCCTGTGACTCCTGCTCCCTCAGACTCTGTAACTTGCCCTCCTTGCCGACCGCTTTTCTTAACTGCAGCCCCTACAGTCTCTGTCGGTGGCTGAGTCGCGGCTGAAGCTGGCCTCCAGCGTCCTGCTCCGGGCCCTGGGCACGAATCCTAACCTGACGGCGCTGGATATCAGCGGCAACGCCATGGGGGATACCGGCGCCAAGATGCTGGCCAAGGCACTTCGGGTCAACACTAGGCTCCGGTGGGCGGGGTCGGAGGGGGGAGGAGTGCGTGGTGCGGGGTGGGGTGGGGGGGCTTACTGGGCTAAGGGGCGGGGCTGAATGTGGAGGAACAAATGCTGCGGCCTCCGCCTGTGTGCGAGGCGAATGGACGAGGCCAGCGGGTTGGGTGCAGCTTGTGGAGCTCCGCCCTTGACTGAAGCCCGGCCTGGCCCAGGTCTGTCGTCTGGGACCGGAACCACACGTCTGCTCTGGGCCTGCTGGACGTAGCGCAGGCCCTGGAGCAGAACCGCAGTCTAAAGGCCATGCCTCTGCCACTGAACGACGTGGCCCAGGCACATCGCAGCCGCCCGGAAATGACCACACGTGCAGTGCATCAGGTGTGGGTCCCTCTCCTCCCTTGCCCTGCTCTGCTTGGTAGCCCCGCTTCCTACCACTTCTCAATATCCCTTGTCCCCAGATCCAAGCCTGTCTTTTGAGGAATAACCGTGCGGACCATGCCTCTTCTGACCGCACTTCCTGTCCGCAGCCACCGGGTCTGGTCTCCGACCCTTCAGAGCAGGTTAGTGTCCCCTCCCTCAACCTTGAGTAGGCACAGGAGATAGGGGATGGGATGAGCTTTGGCCCTTGAGATCCTCTGTGAGTTTGAGGGTCTGACTTTCTTGGGGCTAGGGTGCCTGAATTATGCTGTCCCGGACAAGTCCCTCTTTTTGGTAGCTCCCCCAAATAATACCCCTGGATGCCTTTTAAAAGCATTTAAATAGGGTCTCCTGTTCAAGATGGGAGCTATTTTGAAATCCTCCCTTAATCCTACCAGCCCCCTACCCCCCACCCCAGGTGATTATAGCCTCATGTATGACTTTCTGCTCACAGGGCTCTTCTGCCCTCTCTACCCACCTCTGCTGGGGCCAAACTCAGCGGCACTTTTTCTGGTTTCATCTCCCTCTGCTACCTTGGCTTTGTGAGATCCCTCCACCCATCTGTTCTCAAATCCCAGGCTTTAGAGCTCAGGCATCTCAACCCAGACATCCTTCAGGGGCTTCACATTCTACAGATTTTCAAGTGATCTCATCACCTTGCACAAACTCTTCTCTCTATCCTGGAACCCAATCTCAATGGTGCCCACACTCACCAAGTGTTGTGGACAGAGGTTTGGACCAGGTCTCTCCAGGCCACATTAGAGCCCCCACAGACCTCCTTAGTCCTCCCTCTGCTAACTCTCACACACACTGATCCTTACCCCCACCCCAACTATCTCTTGCTCCCCCTGATCTTTCATCTATGGCTCCTCACAACCATTTCTTTTTTTTAATGTTTATTTTTGAGAGAGAGAGAACAGGGGAGGTGCAGAGAGAGAGAGAGAGAGAGAGAGAGAGAGAGAGAGAGAGAGGAAGAGAGAAAGAATCCCAAGAGAAAGAATCTGATGATGCAGAGCCTGACTAGGGTTGTGATCCCACAAACCATGAGATCATGACCTGAACCAAAATCAAGAGTTGGATGCTTAACCGACTGAGCCACACAGGCACCCCACCTCACTCCCATTTCTGCTCACCACTAAGTCTGTCTTCTATGTGGATGATAAGCAGATCAAGCTTCTGGAATACAGACACGACTAACAGCTCCTTTTTTTTCCTATTCAGGACAATTAGGGAGTATATATAAAGTCTCTAAAATGAACCAAAGGAGACACTGCTTGCCCTCCTTGAACAGATAGGTTTCCTAAGTGACTGGCCTGATGGGATTGGCTTCAGGACCTTACCACCCTGTTGGAGACACTGGGAAGGAGGCAGAGTCTGGGGGGCTGGGAGGGGACTAAGATCGGACTGATTCTTGATGCATTGGGGGGCCCCCCCCCCCCCCCCCGGGGGCGGGGGGGGAAGGGGGGAGGGTGGGGGGGGGGGGGGGGGGAAAAAATGGGGCTTTTTTTTTTTTCCTTCCCCCCCCCCCCCCCCAGGAAGTGAACGAACTGTGTCAGTCAGTGCAGGAGCATGTGGAGCTACTAGGCTGTGGGGCTGGACCCCAGGGTGAAGCTGCTGTGCACCAGGCTGAGGATGCCATCCAAAATGCCAACTTCTCTCTCAGTGTGAGTACTCCCTTCCCCACCACTGCAAAAAGACCCTCCCCCACTTAATCAGGTGTCAACTTGCAACTCCTTCTCCTCCTTGGCCTCCAGATTCTCCCAATTCTGTATGAGGCTGGAAGCTCCCCAAGTCATCAGTGGCAGCTGCGGCAAAAGCTAGAGGGCCTCCTGGGACAGGTGGGCGAGGTCTGCCGTAAAGATATTCAAGTAAGATGGTATCCTAGCCCCAACCCATCTCCACCTCCATAATAGGCTTGACCCCTATCCCATAGGTTTGACTCTGATATTCCTTGAATCACTGTTCTGTGAGGGTTGGAGCTTTAGGCCACACCCTCCATGTTCTGATCTTTACCCAGGATTTCACTCAGGCTACATTGGACACAACAAGGAGCCTCTGCCCACAGATGCTACAGGGACCCAGGTGGAGGGAGCAGCTAGAGGGGGTTCTGGTGGGCTCAAGGGGCCTCCCAGAACTGCTCCCAGAGCACCTGCTGCAAGATGCCTTCACTAGGCTCCGGTAAGCTGGATGGGACTGGGCTAAACTGGACTAGACAGGACTGGGCATAGATAGCACACTAATCTTGGCTCTCTCTTGCTCTCAGGGATATGCGGTTGTCAGTCACGGGGACCTTGGCAGAGAGCATTGTGGCTCAGGCCTTGGAGGGGCTGAATGCAGCCCGTGATCGGCTGGTGAGGGAGAATTGTGCACGCAGGCATGTGCATGCGTGCACAGGCACACATACACACACAGTGACCTGGCCACTGCCTTGCAGGGGTTCTTTAATGTCTTCTGGGGTCATATAGCCCAGGGTTATTTCAGGGTTTCCTTAGCACTGATGGGACTATGGCTGAGGCCCTACCTGCCCATCTTTAGGGTGCCTTATTGCAGGTGGAGAGTCTGGCTCATCAGGCAACAGTGACAATGCCTCCTGCCATACCAGCACTGGATGGAGGTGAGCCCAGCCCCCTTGGGCCTGGGGAATTGGAAGGTCTTTTCTTCTCTGAGGAGGTGAGGGAAAAGCAGAAGGATGAAGAGGAACAGAAGGTAGGTGGTCCCAGAAGTTTGGAAGGCAGGGAGGCAGCTCCCCTGGTTCCCAGGCTGAGTTTCTGCCCTCCCCACCCAGCATGACAGTCCTCCACAGAAATGGCCTGAGTCCAGCCAATGTTTTCACCTGGTCCTCTCCACTCACAGTAAGTCGGTCTGGGGGAAAGGGAGTTAACCAGGTTGAGCTGAAGGTCCTCCATTAGATCTGGGGACCTAGACACATGGTCACATTCATTTAGTCTTGTCCTAGGAACTACCTGACCCTTGACTGAGCCAGGCCAGGTTCCCCAGGCAGACTTGCAGGTTGGGGTCTACTGTGGTCAGCATGGAGCAGGACCTGAGCAGACCAGGATCTACTCTCCATTCGTCTCCCCCGCCCCTTTCCCTACCCCCAGGATGCGCATGCTTGGCGGCAGCGCAGAGCCGCGCCGCTCGGGGCCGCGCTCAGCACCACGGACAGCGGCGACGGGGGGAGGGGCGGGCGTGGGGGGGTGGGGGTGGCGTAGTCGGGCCCCTCCCCGCGCCCTGGGCGGGTCCCCCGCCGCCCCAGCACCGCTGCTGCCGCCACCACCTCCCCAGGCTTGCTCCTCGGTACTCTTCTGGTGCTCTCCCTTTAGGTGCTGCTGAGGAACCGGAGCCCGAGCTGGCGGCTCCGGGGGAAGATGCAGAGCCGCAGGCGGGGCCTTCTGCCCGTGGCTCTCCGAGCCCTGCCACCCCGGGTCCCCAGGCCGGCCCACTGCCTTGCATGGACCTGCCACCCTCTGGGGAGCCCCTACGCCATCCGACCCGGGCCCGGCCGCGGCCGCGGCGCCAGTACCACCACCGTCCGCCACCGGGGGGCCCCCAGGTGAGTGCCCTTCCCCCATTCCAGAGCTCGTGGAACTAGGGGGTCACGGGTGCCTCATTTGTTTCTCAGGAGAGAAGCAGCTAGGGAGGTGGGTTGTCGGGACTCAAGAGTACCTGGTCGTGCTGCCTAATCTTGGCTTATTCCTGGCCACCCCTTCCCCAGGCCATTCCCATGCAGGGTCATGAGCTTGTGGATTTAATTTGGGGTACATCTCAGTTTAGAACTGCATCTTAGGTTGGCCCTTTGCATGAATGGATGTGCGAGAGAGGGTGTCCATCTTATCTTCCCTCTCCCAGGGTTACTGAAAGATCCTGGGCCCCCTGGCTGCGGGGACAATCCTGCATCTACTGCACGTCCAGTAGTTGTTTATGTGGGGAGATGTTCTGTGTGGGCTGGGTACTGGTGGGGACAGTGGACACAGGGCAGAAGGCAGGCAGGAGTTGGTTTGAGGCCCCCCAGAGGGTCTGACGCAGCAGCAGGAGCCGCTGAGCTGCCAGCAGGCCGGGTGGGGTGGGGGTGGAAGGTACTGCAGGGAACTGTTTGGAGCAGAGAGGGTAGCAAATGGGAACGTGTGACCCAGGAGCCTGTAGGTTTTAGCCTGCTGGTGACAGGATGGTTCCGGGTGTCGATACTCCATGGGACAAGAACAGGTGTGGGCTGAGTGTGTGTGTCCAGGGCCAGCTTCTGATTAGGGGATATGTGAAACCATCTCTGCCCACCAGTTGGACAGCAGGAATGTTTGTCAGTAGCCCCCTAAGGTCACTGCAGCTCTCAGGTACAGAAGTTGCCCAGGCTAGGCTGCTTATCAAGGGGTGGAGAGAATATATGGTTGTGCTCAGTCCTTACCCTATGGTGTCCCCCAGGTGCTCCCAGCCCTGCCGCAGGAAGGGAATGGACTCAGTGCCCGCGTGGACGAAGGCGTGGAGGAATTCTTCTCCAAAAGGCTGATCCAGCAGGATAGCCTGTGAGTGAAGGGCAGTTGTATGGGGTGGGAGAAGGTGGGATGGTCTGTCTGCTTTGCCACTCACTGCCAGCTGTTCCCACAGCTGGGTTCCTGAAGAGGACTCAGCCAATGAAGGGGGTACCACCCCTGTCCCCCGTACACTGAGAAAGAAGCTGGGTACCCTGTTTGCCTTTAAGAAGCCTCGTTCAACCCGGGGGTCACGGCCTGATCTAGAGACCAGCCCTGGGGCAGCTCCCCGTACTCGAAAGACCACACTGGGAGACCTGTTGCGGCCACCATCCCGCCCCGGTCGTGGGGAGGAGCCTGGTGGAGCTGAGGGGGGCACCAGCAGCCCAGACCTGGCCCATAGGAGCCGGCCTCGTTATACCCGGGAAAGCAAGGCCTATTCAATGATACTACTACCTGCTGAGGAGGAGGAAACACTGGGTACCAGACCTGACAAGGTAGGCCTGGTGACAAGGGGTGAGGGCTCTGCTAGGACTGAGGCAATGGGCTCTCTCCTACTTGGGCTTCTGTGTTCTCAGCGGCGGCCCCTGGAGCGGGGAGACACAGAGCTGGCCCCATCCTTTGAACAGCGGGTACAAGTGATGCTGCAGAGGATTGGTGTGAGCAGAAGCAGCGGAAGTGCTGAAGGCAAGAGGAAGCAAGTAAGTTGGGAGGGACACAAGTGCAAAGTGAGGGGGCAGGCGACATGTGGCTTGTGGCAATCTGTGGGTGACATATGTGACCAGAAGGAGGCTCATGACACACAGACGGCTCTGTCAGTTCCACCCCCTCCCCCTCAGAACAGTCATCAGAGTCCACCTTTTTTCCTTCTTGGCTTCTGCCCTGGCCATTGGACTGGGGTGGTCCTTTTTCTGTAGATCTAACAGAACTCTGACCTTGTCATCTGCATTTGAAACAGCAAGTCTTCCAGGTACTTCCTCTCAAGACACTGCCCTGCCTCCTAATCCTGCCCCAAGGCCTTAGCCCTTGTCACTTCTTTCATCTCATCACCCTGCCACATGTTCCTGTGTCAGGAACTCCTCCCTGGCTACTTCTAGCCTCTCATCACCATTTGTGGGTTACATGAGCTTCCTCTTCATCCATCCCTGCATCTCCTGGTGGGCATTTAGTAGTGGTTACAAGAACAAGACTAGAGTGAAGACAGGACAGGACTGAGCTCGATTTCCCTGTTTCTTTTTTTTTTTTTTTAACTTTTTTTTTTTCAACGTTTTTATTTATTTTTGGGACAGAGAGAGACAGAGCATGAACGGGGGAGGGGCAGAGAGAGAGGGAGACACAGAATCGGAAACAGGCTCCAGGCTCTGAGCCATCAGCCCAGAGCCCGACGCGGGGCTCGAACTCATGGACCGCGAGATCGTGACCTGGCTGAAGTCGGATGCTTAACCGACTGCGCCACCCAGGCGCCCCATCGATTTCCCTGTTTCTTACAGAGCAAGGATGGAGAGATCAAGAAGGCTGGCTCGGATGGTAAGTGGGATCCTGTGCTATGGCAGTACATTTTTGGTGAAGGAGCTGTCCTTAGATATAGTCCCCAAGGTACTTGCTGTTCTGGGGGAAGAGGGGAAGAGGCCAGGTTTTTCTTCCCCTCACTCCCAAAGGCTGGTGCCTGAACCCCCAGCCCCTTGCAGGTGACATTATGGACAGTTCCACAGAGGCCCCTCCCATCTCAATCAAGTCCCGCACCCACTCCGTGTCGGCTGGTGAGTAAGGGCCACTGTGTGTGTTGGGGGACACGCAAAGATAGGAGGGGGTCAGACGACTGGTTAGGCTCACACCCTTCTCCCTGTAGACCCCTCATGCAGACCTGGTCCAGGGAGCCAAGGTCCGGAGTCCACCACCTGGAAGACACTAGGACAGCAGCTGAATGCAGAGCTCAGGGGCCGTGGTTGGGGCCAACAGGATGGTCCAGGCCCCCCCTCCCCTTGTCCCAGCCCCAGTCCACGAAGAACCAGCCCCTCCCCTGACAGCCTGGTCCTCCCAGAGGACCCTTGCTTGGGCCCTAGGAACGAAGGTAAGCAGGCACCTAGCCCCCACCCCAATACTGGGCTGGGGACCCTGACGGTGGAGGGGGAAGCAAGGGCTGGAGTGGGGAAAGCTGTTGAGACCATACCCTGATACCCTGGCCTCCCCCAGATGGCCAGCTGAGGCCGAGGCCTCTCTCGGCAGGGCGACGAGCAGTGTCTGTGCATGAGGACCAGCTCCAGACCCCTGCTGGTGAGGGGGAACACCTCCCTGTGTGCTTGAGTGCAGGAGGAGATGGGGAGGGTAGATTCCATGGCTCCCTTTGTGGTTTTGGTCCTTGCAGGGGGCCACCAATGGTGTAAGGGGTTGAGAAGTTAGGGAGCCAGAAGGCCAGGAGCACGGGTCTGACAAGCCCTTCCCACTAGTCCTGGCTCCACCTCCAGGAGAACAGCTTTTGCCAGGGGTGGGAGGATGCAGGGGAAGGAGGTGGCTCTGAAGCCAACAGTGTGTGTTCACACACGCACTGGAGGTGGGAGAGAACGCTTGGGGACAGGCAGTAAGCCCCTAGCAACCTCCTCCCCTACCAAGTGTTTCTCTGTCTTTCAGAACGGCCCCTGCGGCTGCAGCGCTCCCCTGTTCTCAAGCGGAGGCCAAAGCCTGAGGCACCCTCATCTCCAGGCCTAGGTGAGAGGAAGCTAGGGCCAGTTGGGAGGGTGGCAGGACTGCTCAGTCCAGTCCTGACCCCTCCTCTCCCTTCCTCCTTCCCTTGCAGGATCTGGCCTTGGAGCCCAACCTCTGCCCCCACAGCCCACAGAGCCCTCTAGTCCTGAGCAGAAGCCACCCTCCCCAGCCACAGACCAAAGAGGCGGCGGCCCCAACCCCTGACCCTCTCCTTTTCCTGCCGCATGAGATTATTTTATTAAAAAACTCAAAGCAGAGTGGGGAGTACTTTTGGTTTATCCCCAGCCATGGACCTGTGTGCACACATCTTCCCACATGTTCACATGACCCCTCACACCTGGGTGAGCTGAGACTCCAGCTGTGGCTCCATCAGAAGGTGCAAGGCCCAGGCCACAAGCTGGGGAGGAAGCCTGGGAAAAGAACCATGGCTGTAGGTCAATGGAGACTGGGCCTGGTGACCCAAAGAATAGGGGCAGCCCCAGGCACTCACCTGACAGCTTGCACCTGGGCACAGAGGGAGGTGCAGGGTGGCTCATACTCATATTGGAAGGCAGAACCATCACGATGCTTCTTTGGAGGGTCCTGAAGGTGGTGTGGTATCTGGAGAGGGACCTACAAGGACCCCTAACCCCATCTGATGCTACTCCCCACCCCCACTCCCAGCTCCACCCAAGACCCATCCCATTCTATCCAGTTGTAGAGAGGCTATACTCACCCCAACAGGGCTGGACTCCAGGGCTCCTGTGGTCGTTTTTGTCCTTGGAGAGTGTTGCCGGTTCTTGGGGGGCAATCCTAGCTCCTTGAACTCTAAGCTAGGTTTCTGCGCCCTGGTCACAATGGCCTGACGTGGACTGGGTACATGACCAAGGGGTGAGAGACTTGGGGTGCAGCTCAGGAGTGGGGATCTGGGTCCACGGCTAGGGTGTATGGAACTGGGGGGCAGGGGGCCAGGGGCTGAACAGATGGCTGGCACAGGCCGGGAGCTGCCCTTCTGCACTGGGTCTGAAGCCGCCAAGGACAGGGCAGGCAGAAGGCTGATGCTGGCACCGCTTTCCTCAGAGGACATGTGGCCGGGTAAAGCAGGGGTTCCTGGAGAGGAGGGCACCGACTGTGGGCACAGCCCTCTCAGTGGCTCATTAGCTTAGGCAGGCAGACAGGGATTGTGTTCATCCCCCCACATGGCTGATAGCAGTGAATGCCTGTGGCCTGCGCACCACCTTACCTGAGGACGTAGGTGAGGAAGGAGAGATCAGGGTCAGTGATAGGTCTTCCAGAGCTGGGTCTGGTGGGGGCAGCTCAGGGTCTGAGGGTCAGGGGGAGCTTATTAGCACCGTGGGCACTAGGTCCCCAGGTACTCCCATCTTGACCTCTCTAGTCCTCCTTACCCTGTGTCCTCTGACCTGGACCCAGAGAGCTCAGAACTCGCTGGTCATTCTCAGAGATGTGCAGCCATGAGCTGGGGACAGTGTACACAGCTTCTCCCTGTGGGGCATAAACTCTCAGCCTAGCCCTTGTTCAACTCCTCTGACATTTCCCAAGGGGAGCCCCAGACTGACCGTGGTCCTATGGTGGGAGGAGGCCCAGCGGGTAAGAGGGGGTGCTGTGTAAGGGCCTGCCAGCATCAGACAGCTCTCAGCCAGGTGCACTAATGCCCCCCGATGCTCCTGGTCCTCCTGCACCTCATCCAGAAGTTGGGACAGTGAAAGGCCTGAGGGCAGGGGACCAGAGGATGGGCCAAAACTTAAAAAAGAAGAAAGGCAGGGTGGGTAGGAAGAAAAGCTTACTAAAGAAGCAAGAGGTGATGGCTGGGGAGGTCACTCTACAGGGAGTTAGGGTCATTGGCCAACCCCTATAAATACCTGCACTGGGGGAGATGGACTCTGAAAGGTGCTCCCTATAGAAACAAAGAGGACAAGCCTGAGGAACAATCCTGAGGCCTGTCTGCACAAATTTGCCCTTGACAGAGCCACACTTGGCCCCAGAGCCCAACCCTCTACTCACTCCAAACAGTCATAGAGCTTTTTCTGCACATCCGGGTCTTGGTTGCTGGGGGGAAAAAAAAGGGAGGTAGTTGGCAATGTTGTTTCCAGCGGCCTAAGCCCTCCCACCCAAAAGACCTACACCAAAGTCAGCGAGGCCTGAGTAGAGAGAACAGCCGGTGGGGGGAGGCATCATTTACCAACTAATCACCCGTTCCCGGGGCTGCTCAGTGGGCAGCAGGCTGAAGCGGTTCACCTGGAGGTAGAACTCCGCGGGCTGAAGGATTGAATTACGGGACGGGTCTTAGGAGTTGTCACGAAGAGGCTCATTAACCCACCCAAACCAGCCTCACCACTCACCGCGCCGCCTTCGGCGACTTGGACGCGGACCCCACAATCCTGCAGCAGCAGCAGCCGGCCTTCTGCCCCTCGGAAGCCGAACTCCTTCTCCTCCCTGCGGCAAGCACGACCCTTACGGCCACGGCCCGCTGGAACACAGCCCGGCCCGCCTGCGGCCCTCCCACCTCCGCCTCGCGCACTCCCACTAGACTCCGATTTCCCCAGACCCTGCGGCTCCTCTCTCACCAATCCGAGGCGTCCAGGGTCTCCCACGTCACTAGGCATCGGACACTGTGGGTCCCATCAGACACAAGCAGTGTGGCCGCGACATCAGACGAGTCAGGGGCGCGGGACGGGCCCGGAGCCTCGGCCTCTCGTAGCACCTGACGGCGTCGACCGGCGTCAATCCCACCGCCCTCGGGCCCTGCCCTGGTCTCTGAGAAGGGTGGCGGGACTCACCTCTAGCAGCTGCCCCGCCTGCGGACTTGAGAGTGTATCTGACCCCAGGACCAGCTCTCGAATCCAGGGCCGCAGGACCAAGCTCCCCGAGCCTGCCATTCCCGGTATGCACCTAGTGGAGCACCACCAGCCTGGGTTTCCCGCGGACGCCGCGGCCCCGCCTCTCGTCGGAAGAGGAAACGCACCGCGGCTGGGCGGAACCTAAGGTCGAGGCCACGCCCAAATGCGTGTCCGCGCGTGCGCACGAGCCCGTGTTGTTCGGATATTTGCGGGCAGAGTCTTGCTGGGAAGATTGGATGCCAACCTGCTTGGTCTTACCAGGGTATCTCCGAGCAGGGGCCCGGCGTTTGGGCCATTCGTCAAGACTTCTGTGGCACCGGCCGGGATGGCTCGAATGGAGAGGGAGGGATCTAGGGCTTCACGCTGCCGCCAGGAGTGGTCAAGCGAGTTGGCCCAAAGCCACTTCACCTTGTGAACCGAAGAGTTGAGCAAATATTTATTATGGCTCAGTTTCTCATCTAAAACGTGCAGTCTTATAAGGCCAGTAGAAGTAACAGTACACAGACTACACTCAGTAAATGTCACTTCCCCCACCCCTTCCCTCTGATTGGCCACGCCCCGCCCCCAGGCTCCAGAGACTTGCGCACCGTAGCGTAATGACGTAAGAGCAAAAGAAGACGCCTCCATCCCCATCTCCGTTTCCTAGGAAACGTAGACTCCACGTTCACTCTCTGTCGCTGCCCCCTTGACGTCATGGTCAGGATGGGAGGGCGGGGCGAGTGCTACCGCCAGGGGCGGGGCAGCACGGGCCGGCCGGCCGGGTCTGTGCACCTGCGCCTCCGCGGGCCGCCTGGGGCACCGTCCCCAGCCCGCCCGGCCCCACCATGGCCAGGCCGCAGAGGACTCCGGCGCGCAGTCCAGACAACATCGTCGAGGTGAAGAGCAAAGTAAGGGCCCCTCTGGCCCCGGCTCCGGCCTCGGCCCTAGGCGCTTCCAATTCCCTTATTCTCCCTTTTCCTGGCTCCTTAGTCCCCACCACCTTTTTCTCGCCTCCATCATTCATGTCCCATTCTCTGGCTTTTCCTCTCGCTTTCCTCCATCTATCCTCCTTTCCACTGCCGGCCACTAGAGTCCTGTGGCCTTGGTACCTGGAGGGCGGGGAGAAGACCTTGGACAGCGTCCCTTGTACTGGAACTGAGGTCTGGGCGCAAGGCTGCAGCTGTTGCGACAGCCCTTTCCGACCTCTAACACCCTCGGACCTGTGGTGGGAAAGGGCACGGGCTCCGTGCTGACCTCTCCTCTCACCCACCCCCTGCCTCCAGTTTGATGCTGAGTTCCGACGCTTCGCGCTGCCCCGCGCTTCGGTGAGTGGCTTCCAAGAATTTTCGCGGTTGCTGCGTGCAGTGCACCAGATCCCGGGCCTGGACGTGCTGCTTGGCTATACAGATGCTCACGGCGACCTACTGCCCCTCACCAACGACGACAGCCTGCACCGGGCCCTAGCCAGCGGGCCCCCACCGCTGCGCCTGCTAGTACAGAAGCGGGGTGAGGAGGATGGGGTACAGTGGGCAGCCTCTGTGGGGTAGGACAGCAGGGCAGGTCTACAAGGGTTAGTCCATGCCCAGGGCGTCCAGGCTTCACCCTCTGCAGTCCCTGCCCTTGCCCTGACCTCCAAGTGGTAGGAAATAGCTACAGTGCCCTTTTCCCCAGGCCTGGGCCTGATGGAAAAGGGTTCAAGTGGGAGAGCAGAGTCTCTGATCTCAGCGCCCCCCTCCCCCTCTCCTGCAGCAGAAGCCGACTCCAGTGGCCTGGCCTTTGCCTCCAACTCTCTGCAACGGCGCAAGAAAGGGCTTCTACTTCGGCCAGTGGCACCCCTGCGCACCCGGCCACCCCTGCTAATTAGCCTGCCCCAAGATTTCCGCCAGGTTTCTTCAGTCATAGATGTGGACCTACTGCCTGAGACACACCGAAGGGTGCGGCTGCACAAGCATGGCTCTGACCGTCCCCTTGGTTTCTACATCCGAGATGGCATGAGTGTACGTGTAGCTCCCCAGGGCCTGGAACGGGTTCCAGGCATCTTCATCTCCCGCCTGGTACGAGGGGGCCTGGCTGAGAGTACAGGGCTGCTGGCAGTCAGTGATGAGATCCTCGAGGTCAATGGTATTGAGGTCGCTGGGAAGACCTTGGACCAAGTGACGGACATGATGGTCGCCAACAGCCACAACCTCATTGTCACTGTCAAGCCAGCCAATCAGCACAATAATGTGGTGCGTGGGGCTTCTGGTCGTCTGACAGGGCCTCCCTCTGCTGGGCCTGGGCCTGCTGAGGCCGAAAGTGACGATGACAGCAGTGATCTGGTCATTGAGAACCGCCAGCCTCCCTGTTCCAATGGGCTGTCTCAAGGGCCTCCATGCTGGGACCTGCGCCAGGGCCCCCTACTTCCCAGTGCCCGCAGCTCTCTGCCCTCCCTGGATCAAGAGCAGGCCAGCGCTGGCTGGGGAAGTAGCATGAGAGGAGATGGTAGTGGCTTTAGCCTCTGACAGGCAAGGATGCAGCCCCTTGCCACTCCAGGCTGCTGAGACATGGCAGGGACTTCCTCAGTGGGGGTTTTTAGCTTGCTCGCAGGGGCCTCTTCGTCTGGGGAACATTAAAAGTTTTCTACAAATGCAGTCATGGTCTTTCTGTGTCCCAGCCCTAACATCCTCCATGGTCTAACAATTTTGCCTCCTGCCCTGGACCTGAGGCAGGAGTGATAAGGACAACAGAGAGACCTCCCTGCAGTTGAGCAGCAGGAGGGACATCAGGCTTTGCATTTCTAGGGTAAGAAGAGCTCTTATGGAAACAAACCCCATTGTGTACAAAAGGTTTAATTTTGACAAAGGGATTAAGAGGCTGGGCTGGCCCTTCTACAGCCACCGGTGGCTGGGAAGAGTGCTCTGGAGATACTGCCCACACCACTGCTCCTGTCTTTGGACCCCCATTCTCTGATGGGGCTTGATCCTGCCCTCTGCAACTGTGTGGCAATCTTCACTGAGGACCCCCATAAGCGACCCCACAAAAGGGCTCAGACATCCATCTTCACAAAGACCTTGGGGCGGGAAAAGATCTTGATGGCCTCCTCTACCTGCACCAGCTTCTGGTCCAGCTCAGCATGGTGGCCCTGGGCCCTCAGTGAGTCTGCCCCAGCAGGCAGCAGCACCAGCTCACGTAGCAACTGGCTCTGGCCTATGAGGGATCCAGGAAGAGTGAGTGTTGGGCAAGGGTGTGTGGTCCCCAGTGGGTTCCTCATCTACACCCCCCTACCTCTTGCCTATGGACTCACTCTGGAGCAGATTGCTCAGTGTCTCCAGCCGCTGGTTCTCAGGCATGCAAGTGTGACCAGGGGGCATGGCAGGGTCCGGCTGGCTATGCTGGCGGGCCTCAGCCTCCCGCCGCCACAGATCCCTGCGTTGCAACAAGCTGTGGATGCACAGGCTCAGAGTTGATGGTCCCAGGGCGTAGGTTTTCTCCCACCCTCCACAGGAACCCCTCACCCTGGGTGTTGGGCAGTGGGACCTACTAATGGGGTACGTGGCCCTTCTGCGTGGTGTTGTAGTGCTCTTGGGCTTGCCGTTGCTGCTCCAGCACTTGTGCCAGGACCTGCAGGGAGCGGGAATGCCGCCGGGGGGCCCTCTTGGCAGTGCGGGCATTGTGGCTAATGAAGTCCACATCCAGGCCTGGCCCCTGCAGGACATGGCAAGCATGATGGGGCAGACAGTACTGTGTTGTGCTCCTGAACCCCTCAAGATTCCTGCCCCACCTCCCGACCCCCACACATCCTCTCACCTTAGCATTGGGGCCTGGTGGGTTTAGCTGAGGACTGGGGGCACGGGGTGGTGGGATCCCAGGGCCACAGCGGGAGTGTGCCCGAAGGAAGTGGGTGGGCTCTGTTCCAGAGGCTGGGCTGGGCTCCTGGAGGGTAGGGCATAGCAGAGGAATCAGCCAGGCTGAGGTCAGAGTCTTAAGCTGGCCGTACAGCTGAGCTTCTGTTCCTTCTGCCTGTGAGGATATTTCTCTGTATCTAGCCCTATGGGCCTCCTCCCTCTTGAAGAAGCACTTCTATCCATGAGCATTTAAATATGTGTGTCTCTCACATCTTTAAGAAAACAACAAACCATTCCTCTTTCTACCTCAGTCCTGGCTTTTGACTACCATTCTCTTTTTCTCTTTCCCTGCCAAGCCTCCTGGCTCTGTCCCCACCAAGGTCACTCACAGCTGGCTTCCAAGCCATTAAATCCAGGGTCACTTCCCTGGTATCATTGTCCTCAGCCCAATGCTCAATAACTCCTGGGTCTCACTCCTCAGATCCAGACCTGATTCTCCATCTGCTTCCTGGACACACTCCTACCCCCTGGGAATCCCACAAATGCTTCAGCTTCAACAAATTCACATATGAACTTATTGTCTCTTTTCTCAATTCTGCTCCTCCTTCTGAGAACCCTGGACAGAGAAATGGTACTACTATCTACCCAAGACAATCCCACCACCATACCCCTTCACTTGCCCTTCTCACTGCCCTTAGAAATAAAGGTTGAAAAAAAAATTTTTTTTTTAAATGATGTGGGTCCAGCTGACTTCTTAGCCTAACCTCATGCTCTTCTCCCTTCACACTGATCTGAACATAACATCCCACTGCGCATACTCCCTCTGGTCTTAGGACTTCTATCTGTGAGGTTCCATCTCACTAGAATGGTTCTCTTCAATTCTCCCCTTGCCTAATACCTATTTGTCCCTGAGGATGACCCAAGCCATCACCACTCCTGAGGAAGCCCCCAGCCCGACTCTGCAGCAGGCCAGCTATCTCTTAGCCCCTGTTTCCCTAGTCCCCTGTGATTTTCATCTCCATAACTCAGATCAGAGTATAACTGCTTGTTGGTCAACAAGATGAACAATGCTTCTGGCTCTCCAAGGCAGGTACCTGCAGCTGGGCCTTGACCCGGGACTCCACCTTGTCATATTTGGGTGAACGCCACAGAGCCTTCAGGGGCCTGGGCTGGCCCTGCTCCCGGCTGCACTCCTGCTCACGGAAGCGCTTCTGGATCTCTCTGATCCGCTTCAGGTTCTCCTTCTCATAGTCTTTAGGGTCCTTCCCTGGGAAAAAGATGTTGCCAGACTCTGCCCTACATACAGCCCATGAGATCCAACTCCCATCAGTTCACACAAAGGCCCACACCTTGCCTCCTACAGAAAGATCTCCATGACCTCTCCATCCAAAACAGTATACACATACTCTGCCTCATCACTTTGTTCCCTTCCTGACATAGTCATTACCTTCTTCTGTCCCTGATTATTTTCTACATTTTTATTGTGAAGTAGACCATTAATCATTTTGTCTATCATAGCCATCTCTTTACTTGTTTACTGTTTTTCTAGCACCTATAAAGAGGGCACACAGTAGGCACTCAACAGACCACGTTTTGCTGATGCATGAATTCATTAAGCTGAGCTTGGGTTTCCCAGGGACTACTGCATTCAGTCCTCTTCTTTGAGGAAGTAGCGCATTTCCCCCTCCTTTCATAGTTGGGGAAACTGACACTCAGAGAGGCAAACCCTGAGCCCAGAATCTAGCAAGGAGAAGCAACGCTTTTGATCTCAGCGTTTGACCTCATCGTACTAGCTCCATTGCCCCTTGTATCCGAACTTACTCTTGGAAGAGGCCTCTGGGCTTAGGGAGATGCCCCCAAATTGCAGCAGCACTCCTCCGACGCCATGCCTGCCACGGTCCAGGATCTGTCTGGCTCCAGGACCTATGCGGGGACCGCGCGGAGGGGTGGCGTCCAAGTCGAGGTCCGAAGTGACCAGGTCCAGCTTCAGCGCGTTTCCCTCAAGGCGTCCTTGGGCTGAGAAGCCAGATGGGGCCGAGCGCGGGGCTCAGTGGTGGATCAGAGCCAGACCCTCACTCGGGCCTCACCCAGCCGTGCCACCCCCTAACTCACCCGAGGCCGGCCGCCGGTAGTAGTCAGGGAAGAGCGTAGGGTCTGGGGGGATTGGCCCCGAGATACGGGACGGGCCCTCGCACATGCCGCCTTCGTCACCCTGCAACGGTGTACCGAGGCCTGCTGGGCTGCACATTTCCGGCCCCTGGCCCCTTTTCCAGCCCCGTGCCTCCTCCCGGATTCTGGACCCAGACCCTGACCCCAACGGTGCCCCTCCATTCCCTGCCTCTGCCCCGCCGTCTCACCCCGCAAAGCACTCGCCGCCTCCGCTCCTAACCCACTTCCCTGATTCGTTCGCGACCCCTTCCCCGCAACACTCTGACAAGGGGCTCACCAGAGCAGTTTTGCCGCCGACTGCTGCGACCCGACGGGCTTGCTGTTGCCGGGCAACAATAATTTCCGTCCCTGAGGTCAGGGGCCAAGGCCCCCTGGCGCAAAGCCTTCTGGGGCTTGTAGTTCCAGCTTTGGGGAGTGAGGCACAGAGCCACGGTCAGGCACCCTTTCCACCCGCCTGCCCTCGCCGCCCGGCCGGTCTCTGGGGTCAGCGCCAGGTCCACAGGTCCGGCCCCTCGCTCCGCTCCCCGAAAGCAACCGTCGAGGAGGTACTGACCCTGCGCAGCCGTAGCTTCAGCAGGGGTCGAGAGGCGGCCAGGGTCCCAGGAGAGGACGGCCGCGGGGCAGGCACAGCTCGTAGAGTCGCCTGGCGGCCACGCTTAGACCTCCGAGGTGACCGTCAGGCTGTGGTCTCCAAGCGACTGTCCGCGGCGCTCTGGGAGGCCAAACTCTGTGCGAGGCCCCCTAAATGCCAGGACAAGCTCCTCCTCGGGTGTCTAATTACTGATCCCTGTGTCCTTTGCCTGGTGACCAGTTACCTATGTGTCACCCTTAGTGTCCAGTGATGGCAGACCAGTGCCTGGTACCACACTATGAGGCTTGCCAGACCCTGGGTGAAGACAAGTGCCCAACAGTCCAAGTCTCAGAGCCAGAGCTCCAGGAGGAACGACTCAAGCTGAAGGAAGAGAGGCTCAAGCCAGAGGTGGAGTCACTAGAGGAGAGAGGCCCTCCCAGGCCTATGGCCTCCATTGTGAGGCCCAGTCCTGGTCCGAAGAGGAAGCCAGTCAAGTGAGGGGGCTTTCAGAGGGAAGGAGCTATAGGGCTGGTGGGGAGGGTGGGCTCACACTCCAGCAGGATCCCTAAATCCTGCACTCTTACATAGTGCATCCTTATCTCCTGCCACCACCATCACTCCTCACTCCTTCTGTCCCTGAGGAACCCTGGCATAGGGAGCATCCAGAGGAGGGGTCTCAGGCCTTGTAGGGTACTAAGCTCACATGAGCTTTAGTTCCCTGTCCAGCCCAGAGCCTCGCTGACCAGGAAAGGGACAAGAATCTGGGCCGGGGGTGGTGAATAGGCAGGGTTATTCCCTATGGTCAGGGCACAGGAGCCAAAGCTGGAGGCTGGCTCCTTAGGCCTCCTGTCCTCCAGCCTCCCAGGGCCTAGCCACCAAGTCCATCCCAAAGCTGAAGCTGAGATGCCACAGGGGCTGCCACCGCAGAGGGAGGAGCCAGAGGGTAGCCAGACTGAGCCCTCACCATCTGCCAAACAGCACAAAAAAGCCAAGAAGCGCAAGAGTCTGGGAGCTCCAGTGCTCCCAGGTGTGGCCAGCACAGTGTCTGCACCTCCAGAGACCTTGGGGCTGGAGCGTGAGTGGCAGCCCCTGGGCCCTCCCTTTTTCTCCTGCCTGATGGACCCCTGTCATGGCACAGCTTGGTGCTCCAGCCCCTGCCTTGCCCTGGCTGTTTGCAGGAAAGGCCCAGCGCCTGCGGCCCCTGTACCAGTACATCAACTATTGTAATCCTGAGCTGAATCAGGCAGGGGAGGGGGACAGGGAGGCTAAGGTGGACGTGGAGCCTGAGTTGGAGTTGGCCCTGGTCCCCGAGGAGGCAGGTGTGGAGCAACTGCAGGCTTTGCTGCCCGTGACAGGTGAGCTGGGGTCAGGCCTCACTCTGCCCTGCCCCAATACATTCGTGTCCCCCACCCATGCACTGGCTCCCCTGGGAGAGGAGGTTGGAGAAGAGCCAGGGTGTTTGCCCAAGTTGGGGATCAGTGGCCGCCTCAAGGCTGAGGTGGAGAAGTCAACCCAGGTGGACATCGATAAGATGCTGAGTGTTTGTGCCGCCCCACTTGTACCTCCACTCTCTCCTCAGTACAAGTGACTTTCCCGCCTCCACTGGAGTCTCCCCTTCTCCCAAGCCCAAACCAGAGTAGCAGCCTAGGCCTCAGGAGGAAGGGAAAATTTGGCCCTTCTCCCTACTTGGGGCCTTGGACTTACTGAAAATAAACATTTTTCCTTTTCTCAGACTTCATGATTTCCCAAAATAGATGGCTGAAGAGAGGCTGGGAAGGTGGGGGCAGGGTGTGAAGCCTGATTGGTCACCTGGATCATCCAAGAACTTGACAAACATACAGGTTCTTGGGCACTATCCCAGACATAACTGAATCAGAATCTGCAGGGGTGGGGCCTAGTTCTGTGCATTTAAAGGCTCTTCACATGAACCTGAAGGTCAGATAGGGTAACAGTGGGGATGCAGAGAGAGGTGATAAGTGAGAAACGAGGCAGAAAAAGGAAAGGGACTGTCAGGTCACAGCAATCAGGTGCTTGGCTTTGCTCCCTGTCTTCCAGGGAAGGGGCCTGCATTTGGTCTGACCTCAGGGGATCAATACTTGGGATCTCCCACCGAGGTGTCAGAGTTCATTTGCCTGCCCCAAGAGTGGTGTCTTTGGAATGTTTTCCACATACTGGGGACTACAGCTGGACCAGACTTTGCTCCCAGAGTGGCCCTGCCAACAGAGGCCTCTGTGACTTTTTCCTAGCAGCCAGGGGATGGTGGCGGATGTGAATGTTCTCCTGGAGCCCTGCAGCCAAGCCACTGGATAACTGAAATTATCCAGTTTGGCCACTTTGGAAACCCTCATATCGTGCCACCTCCTCATCCTCCTGAACGTACCTCAGATACCTTAAACATAAAGAATTTAAAATTAAATGAGTAACTTCTCCCTCCAATCTGCTTTCCCTCCTGTGTCTCATCTACACAATTGTTCAAGCCAAAATCCTGGGTGTCACCCCAGACCCCATCCTGTTCTTTGCTCATTGACTCCTACAAGCTAATCAGGCATCAAGGCTGGTGAATGTGCCCTCTAGATTGAGAACCTTTCGTATCTCATAGTCAGCACTTTTGCCTTGGGACACTGTTATTCCCCGGTGAGAGCTCACTAGTTTCTCTGTCTGTGGTTCCTTCCCCAACCAATCCACCCCACTGATCCTGGTACACACACACCTGAACCTGATGGTGTTGCTTCTCCCTGGCATGTTGCTCCTCTTGCTCCAAGTGCCTTAAAAACTTTCCAGTGGCGGGGCGCCTGGGTGACTCAGTTAAGCATCTGACTCTTGATTTCAGCTCAGGTTATGATCTCGTGGTTGATCTTGCGGTTTGGGAGTTCGAGCCCCACATCGGGCTCCAGGCTGATAGTGCGGAGCCTGCTGGGAATTCTACCTCTCTCTTTGCCCCTCCCCTGCTCTCTCTCTCAAAATATATAAACTTAAAAAACAAAACAAAACATAACTTTTCAGTGGCTTCTAGAAGTCCCTGACCAGCCACAACTTTCTTACTTTCACTCTGCACATGGGCCTTCTCCTGCCTAAAGTGCCTTCATTCCTTTACCCCTCCACCTGACTAGTGCACTCTTACCTTGAAGACTCGGGCACTTTACTCCGTGCTGAGCCAGGCAGCACCCAGTGTTGCCCTATGTCATAGCATTTACATATTACTGCCGTTGTGGGTTAGAACTGTTCTTGGAACTAGGTTGTGAACTCCCCAAGGGCATACATCATTGCATTGCACCCATCTAGTGGAGAGCCCCCATAAAAGACACAAAGATAAGGAGACCGAGGTGGGGAGCTGAGGAAGTCACAGAGGGCAGGTCAGGATCTGAAAGGCTGAGGGCATCCAAAGTCCAGAACCATGTGCAGGGCCCCTCGAATACTGGTTTGGCAAGGTCATTGGAAGGGATAGGGTGGGCAAGCCCAGATAGAAGTAGGAAGAAAATGCGCATCATCCCAGGCTGCTTCTATGTTTAGGAATCACTTGGAGCTCACTGACCTGGTGGCAAGACTACAGGGCAAGTGATGGGGTCAGGACATTTTTGCCCATACGTTTCCCTGGTTAGTGACTGAACCACCCCAGAAGATACTGTCCACAGGGACCATGCAGACCAAATCTTGTCCATAGGGATGAGCATGGATTCTTTGGAATTTCTCAGAGGTAAAGGACTCTTCACATAACTGAGTTGACTGCCTCACTTTATGGCCGAGGGAGGAGAAACCTGGAGAGAAGCGGCCTTGCATGAAATCACACCCTGGGCACCAGGGAGGCAGCACCCTTTCCTGAACCCTGTAGATTTGTGGACCTGAAAACTCTGGCTAAGGCCTGACCCAGGCCAGCACTGACAAGGAAACTCTGTTCCTCTCTTCCAACAAGTGGCACAGGAAATACTCAGTAACCAGCAAAGAACTGATCTATATTTGCAGGTCTATTACCTGATAGGTTTTCCTAAAGCAGGGTGGGTGACAATAGCCACAGAAAGGAACAAGTAACTACTATTGTTCCTAGAAGCTCAATCTAAGGGGGAAATGCTGAGTAGGATGCAAGGAGACAGGTATCACAGAAAAGCAGAGGACCAAGGCTGTGGGACCTTGAGGTGGGTGTGGGTGTTGGGACTGCTGTTTTGCCTAGGGAAGCAATGAAGAGGCAGCCCTTCAGCTGACTCTTGAAGGAGATTTGGGTGGCCTTCCAAGCAGGGAATACACCAGACACAAAGCCTTGCTAGTATAGAAGTCAGCCTCACTCAGGAGGACCATTTAGCATGGCTGAAGCAGAGGCATGGCCATCAGGAGACCAGGTTAGACAAGTCTGGGAGTGATGAGAAAGGGTGCAGGCAAGGAGGGATCTTGGCCTGATATTTTGGAGAGGTCATGTGGGCAGCAGTGAGAAGGGTAGAATGAGGAAGGGAGACTGGGAACAGGGAGGTGAGGAGACTGCTGATTGTCTGAGTGAGTATGAGGCCTACATTTGGTTGGGGGGTTGAGAAATAAGCAAAAAGTATTTTGAAAGTTCTTTTCTGGCTCTTCCTGTAAGCGGCCTGAGGTGATCTCTGAAAATGGTTCGCTATTCACTTGACCTGGAAAACCTGACAAAATCATGCCAACAAAAGGTTCAAATCTTTGTGTTCACTTTAAGAACACATGTGAAACTTCCCAGGTAATCAAGGGTATATACATCCGAAAAGCCACCAAGTATCTGAAAGATGTCACTTTGCAGAAGCAGTGTGTGCCATTCTGTCACTACAATGGTGGAGTTGGTAGCTGTACCCAGGCCAAACAGTGGGGCTGGACACAGGGTTGGTGGCCAAAAAGAGTGCTGAATTTTTATTGCACATGCTTAAAAATGCAGAGAGTAATGCTGAACTTAAGGGTTTAGATGTAGATTCTCTGGTCATTGAGCACATCCAGGTGAACAAAGACCCCAAGATGTGGCATAGAACTTACAGGGCTCGTGGTCAGATTAATCCATACATGAGCTCTCCGTGCCACATTGAGATGATCCTTACTGAAAAACAAAAACAAAAAACACATTGTTCCTAAACCAGAAGAGGAAGTTGCACAGAAAAAAAAGTTACCCCAGAAGAAACTGAAGAAACAAAACTTATGGCCTGGGAGTAAATTCTGCATAAAATAAATGCAAATAAAAGCAAAAAAAAAAAAAAAAAAGTAAGTGATTTTCTGGTTGTTGTTAGAGAGAGGAAAAACAAACTCCATTTTCAGAAGCCTGGAAAAACTTCATTCACTCTGACTCCAGGAAGATCCTGAAATTTAGGAAACGGGACCTGGGAGGTGATGCTGCTTTCCTCCAGGAGGGGGCGGTGCAGGACAAGCCTGAGCCCACGTGCAGGCACAGTCCATCCTGAGGGCCAGAACCCTGCTGACTTCCTAGGCCACAGGCACTTGGGCCATTTTAAGGTATATCTCCTCCCCAGGACCAACCCAAGAAATTTATAATGGTAAAGATGTCTGAAGGATGGCCATGGACCTAGGCTCTAGCGAGTACCAACAGAGGACCCCAGGGCCCTCACAAAAGTAGCTGTGCACTAAGCCCACTGCACTCTGCCCTAGGACTTCTGGGAACCTGTCTTTGTCAACAAGGGATTTGTTGTAGAGCCCTATAAAACCTAAGAAATGCCACTGTGGGGCAGTAAACCTGAGTCAGGTACAACTGGGAAAGGTGCATGAGCTTTCTTAGTAAATCCCCCAATTTAGGAGGGATCCCATCTTCCTAGTAACACACAGAGGGACTGACCTGGAGTCAGGAGGAAGGGAACAGCCTCTCTGAACTCTACCAGCATCCTGCCTCGCAGGGCTCTCTGTAGTCCTTCCTTCTCCTAGTTGAGGGCAGACAGATTTCTGCTGCACAGAGAAGGCAGTAACCTGGAGGGCAGGACCTGAGCGGGGAGGGGCAATGTCTGGGCACTCAGTCTCTGAGATCTTTAAGTGCTGGGGAAAGAGTAGGTCAGGGTCAGTCTCTGTAGTCAGATGACCCTGACCATGCTCCTCCTTGGCTCCATCACTTTTAACTTATAGGAGGCAAGTAACTTTGCCCCTCTCTGGCTCAGTTTCATGATCTGAATAATGAGAATATTAATAGTAGGACCTCACAGAGTGGTTTGGATATCAAATGAAATATGTGTGAAGTGTCTCCGGGGGAGGAGCATTCAGTAAGCACACTCCCCAGCACTAGTCACTGTTATTTTAGCTCACAAGGACAAAGTTTTAAACCAGGACCACACACAGGAAAATAGGCCTACTGACTTCTAGAAAGGGTGCCAAGAAGAGGGAGATTTCCCTGAGCCTTTCTCTCTCTGGCAAGGAGCCCAGGGCAAGGCAGAGAGAGTGAAGTTCAGAGAAGGGAAGAGTTCAGTCTAGGCTTAATCCTGGCAGGCTGGCAGAGGAAACGAAGGGGGTGTATGTGTCCACTTCCCCGAACCCCTGACCCACCTCACCTCTGATTGACTTCGTTAAAAGGCAGTCCCAGTGTAGAATAGTTAATAAAAAGCATGGTTGGTGACTGGCTATCTAGGTCAGGCAGCGTTAGGCTGTACCTACTCCAAGGGCAGTGCATCCAGGCTCCCCGGGACCACTTCTCACCTCCCCTCTCCCAGGGTTTCCCGGAGCCAAATCCATGGTTGTAGGAACAGAACTCTTCCTGACCTCCAGCCCAGGAAGGCCTTAAACTCTCCCTATCTCCCTGACCTGCCTACCAGGTCAGGGAAGTCTTGAGGTTAAGGAAGTCTTGAGTCTTGTTCCCTGAGAAAAGACTTTTCCTTGGAGGACTCCTGGGATTCTGTCACAAGGGAATATGCCCACCAGACCATGATGGATCCAGGGCAGGCCAGATCTGCTGTGGCCACAAGGAGAGAGAAAAATATAAACAAACTACAATAAACAAGCCTCTCATTATTAAAGAAACAGAACTTACCAAACAACCAATTGCCATAGTGTCAGACTTTCTGATTTATTAATATTTATCAGATATTCCAGAACTCTCCCTGTCTCCTCTCCACCAAATCAGGGACCCTTTGCCCCAGGTCAATAGCCCCTGAGAGCTCACCCAATGAAGAACCCACTCCTCCCTGCCAGGGAAGGGGCAGCCTGGAGGCTGGAAAGGCCTGGGCATATGGGAAGGAGGGCAGGTACGGATCCCTGAGGGATGGCTTGCTGCCCTCACCATTCCTGAGATGCTCTAGCCCAGGAAGGGCATGAAAACAAGGCTTCTTGTCGTTTTCCCTCAGGCCTGAGGAATCAGCCAAGCTGGGTCCTTGCTGTGCTTTCTCACCTAGTTACGGCCACAAATAGGCTGAAGCAGCCTCCAAGTCAAGCTTTTGCTGGCTCTGCTCACCAGCATGACTATGCAGAGACCTGGGGGCAGCTCTACTTGGCTACACTGTGGGAGCTGCTAGCCCTCAGCTATACCACCACCCTCCAAGTCTTGAGCATTGGAGGGGGTGTTTTCCAAGGCCACCTTGGGTTTCACCTGGACCCTGCCCAAGTTGACTCATGAAATGAAATACACTATGTATGCAATGGCCAAGACCTCCTGTCTCATCCTTCTGGTCCCTTCCCATCCCTTCTGCCCCATGGCAGGGAGCCCACGTGCAGGCTCACAGGTTATTCCGTTGGAGAGCTTCGCATAGGTTCTGGTTGGCGTCAGGTTCTTCCGTCATCACCTCCACGGCCTCCCACTCCCCAGATCTGCTCGACCTTTTGATGGCATCCACCACACTCTGCATGTACAGCCCATCCTCGAACGAGGCGGCCATGGAAACAGGGATGTGGTCCCATGTGCGGCGGTCCCCCTGCCCCTGGAAGGACTGGCGCAGGGCCTGCACCATGTAGACCATGCCCTTCAGGTAGAGCAGTGGAACATCCTGGGGCCCCTGCTCGGGCAGCCCTGCACCCACAGCCAGTGAGTCCCTCAGGAGCAGCTCCTCTTGTGTGGCAGAGTTCTTTTGCCCATACAGGTCAGCTCCTCTGGCAACAAGGCGTCCTGCAGAGCCCACCACCATGACCTCGTGCACAAAGGCACCTGGCATGTTGAAGTTAAGTGTTACCGTGCTGCACACGCCTCCACCCATGAGCATCTGGAAGAAGCAGAAGTCATCACTGGTGACATGTCGGATGCCACGGATGGCTGCATTCTGCCTCACAAAGGTCTTGAGCAGCCCATGCACCTTCTCAGCTCTCCGGCCAGTCAGGTGGGTCAGCAGGTCCACGATGTAGGTGCCCATGGTGTGCAGGCCCCCACCACCCATAAGCTCGTCGCAGATCCAGCCATAGTTGGGGCTGAGCAGGCTGCCTGAATAGATGCGCGCATCGCAGATCATTACCGCGCCCACGTAGTGCTCCGCGATCAGCTGCTTCATGCGCACAAAGGCAGGCAGAAAGCGCAGCACATTCCCCACCAGACTCATCAGCTGTGGGTAGTAGCGCGAGGCTGTCACCATCCGGAATGCATCCACCGAAGTTGCTGCCTTCTCACAAACCACATTCTTCCCAATACCTGAGAATAAAACACACCAAAAAGTCTCAAAGTTCCAAGGGATTTACAATGAAGGAAAAAATATTTTCTTGAAGGCAAATGAACTCGGAAAAGCCTCCTGTATCAGATGGTGGCCTGGGACAAGAGGAAAGGCAACAGCTTGGATAAAAATGGTACCTGGTGACTGGGACTGGAGAACAAGCTATAGACTGCAGAATGAAGAGTAAATTCTTAAGGGAAAATGAAAGGAGTAGAGGTAGAAGGTGCAAACCAGGAATGGCAAGTAAAGAGAGGAGGTATAATATGTAATTTTATGGGGTGCCTGGATGGCTCAGTCGGTTGAGCGACCAACTTCCGCTCAGGTCATGATCTCACAGCTGGTGAGTTTGAGTCCCGTGTCAGGCTCTGTGCTGACAGCTTGGAGCCTGGAGCCTGCTTCAGATTCTGTGTCTTCCTCTCTCTCTGCCCCTCCCCCACTCACGCTCTGTCTCTCTCTCAAAAATGAATAAACATTAAAATTTTTTTTAAAAATCTGTAATTTTATGTGCCAACCCAGCTAGGCTGTGGTGTCCATCAAATACCAGTCTGGACATTGCTATGAAGGTATTTTTTAGATGTGAATAGCATTTATTTAAAAACTTCTTTAATGTTTATTTTTTGAGAGAAAGAGAGAGAGAGGCAGAGAGCGAGAGGGAGACACAGAATCCGAAGCAGGCTCCAGGTTCGGAGCCGTCAGCACAGAGCCCAACGCGGGGCTCCAATTTATGAATTGTGAGATCATGACCTGAGCGAAAGCCAGATGCTCAACTAACTGAGCCACGCAGGTGCCCCTATTTTATTTTTTTTTAATTGAGAGAGAGAGATGGCACGAGTGAAGGTGGAGAAAGAAGGAGAGAGAGAAAAACCCACAAGGGGGAGAGGGAGGGAGGGAGGGAGGGAGGGAGAGAGAGAGAGAGAGAGAGAGAGAGAGAGAGAAGCAGGGCTTGTGTTCACCCAAAGCAGGGCGTGAGCTCACCTGATGCAGGACTCAAACTCACGAACCATAAGATCATGAACTGAGCTGAAGTCAGATGCTTAACCAAATTAACTACCCAGGAGCCCCTAGATGTGATTAGCATTTAAACCAGTATATTTTGAGTACATCAGATCACTTTCCACAATGTGGGTGGACTTTATCTAATCAGTTGAAGGCCTCAAGAAAAAAGACTGGGGTTCCATGGAGAGGAAGGAATTCTGCCTTCAGACTCAAGTTTGCAACATCAACTCTTGTTGGAATTTCCATCCTGTTGTCCTACCCTGTGGATTTCAAATTTGTCAACTCCTACAATCACGAGAGGATTCTTTAAAATAAATTCCTTTCTCTCTATATATACGCTCATTGGTTCTGTTTCTCTGAAGAACACCGCCTAATACACATGGGCTGGAGAGAGGACATGCTTGTGTACCTTCATACATTTAGCAGATCACCAGCTTTGGGCAAAAGTATTTAATCTATACTCTAGGGGATGGGCTCTGTACTCTCAGTTGCAATTGCAGAAAGGGCTCTAAGATTTCCCAAAGATTGTTCTCTAAAAACACTGATCCAACAATTTAGTGTAGTCAAAAGGCCAGAAAATGTTTGGCTCTGGTAGGAAGGGAAAGAAAGTAAAATTAACCCTTATGCTCTCATGCCTGTTCCGAGTATACTAAAGGTGGGATGGACTAAGAGAGCAAAAAAAGCCTTAGAAAAAGCCCCGAAGAGAGCTAGAACTGGGCAGCTTCTGTTTTAGGAAGCAGAAAGGATCACTATTTTTAAGATGTTTTAAGATGAAAGCTCACGAGGGTATGAGCAGTCACAAGACAACAATACCTGGGATACTCCTGAGAGCTTGGGGTGGTTCCCTATGTTAATACCTCCAAAGAAGTAGTGGGTGCCAAACCAAGGGAAGAGGTCCTTACACTGGGGTCTCGCAGGAGGGGGCCCTTCGGGGAGAATAGCCCCTGACTGTTATCATGATCTGCTCTCGGAGAATCTCTAATGCTTCCTTACACATGTGAGATTTTAGGATTAGGGACTGGAGAATCACCATACTGGGTGACAATTTGGCCACCTGAGTGCAGAACACATAGAGCTGACCAGGAAAGTAATGAGGAAATTAGATTCTCAGACACAAACACCTCATCTGAGGGCTGTAGCTCTGGCCAACCCAGAAACTACCTGCTGTAACTATTCACTGTAGGAACTGGGGTGGACACTGCAGCATGGGGCAGAAAGGAGGTGGGCAGGGGGGAAAAGGACTTTTGTGGCTCCTGGAAGTTTGGTGACGGTAAAACCAGGATAAGGAAATTTCTGTTCCATGTCATGAGAGGTCAGGGAAAGGGGAGAGACCTCCCATTTTGAGCCCAAACAACAGGGATGCTTTTTAACTTAAGACTCAGTAGTATTATCAGTAGGGGAGCTAAAGGCCATCTTAAACAGGCTCCTGCAAGGCCAGCCGCACAGGGTCTTTAACTTTAGGAGGACCTGGGTTATCTTGAAAGACATATTTAAGTTATCTAGCATTCCCGGGGTACCTGGGTGGCTCAGCCGGTTATGTCCAACTTCAGCTCAGGTCATGATCTCACAGCTCGTGAGTTCAAGCCCCGTGTCGGGCTCTGTGCTAACAGCTCAGAGCCTGGAGCCTGCTTCGGATTCTGTGTCTTTCTCTCTCTCTGCCCCTAACCCCCTCACATTCTGTCTCTGTCTCCTCAGAAATAAATAAACATTAAAAAAAAATTTTTTTTTTTTAAGTTATCTAGCATTCCTGCTAGGAAGCCAAAGGAGAGATCAGAGAAGCTGGGAACTGATTTTTGTCTCCAGGGAGTGGGAAAAGCATGAATGCTGAGTGCTTATTAGCTCAGATTTTTTGGAGGGTGAACAAATTTCAAGCTGCAATCTTTTCTCCAGCTCATATTCTCCAGATTACCCAGGAGTGAAGTGCCCCAGAGCACCTCTTTGTTCACAGGAAGTAAACGTCATGGTCACAATATGCTCAGTGACTCCTTTGGGGTTTGAGTGGGCAGTGCCTCAAGGCAGGTCCAGCTGACATGGCTCTCCCAGTCCCACCAACTTGACCCTGGGACTGTGTGTCTATAAGAACAGACCAAGGACTCATTCACACCCTCTTCCTCCTGACAGTGAGAAGACAGATGACCCTGCTTCACTGAGGGCTGGGACATAAGATTCCAGAAGCCTCTGGTCATTCCTGTCCTTCCTATTTGTATTAAAAGATCCAAAGTCTGGTGCTTTCCTATACCAGGAACCAGAAAACAGCAGGCTTGTAGCCAAAGAACTTGGGATTTCCTCTTTCTTCCTACATAGCTTGGCAATGGTCTCTGTGAGAACCCTAATATATAAGCAGACTGAGAGCCTCTAGAACTCTGCCTCTGGATACACCTGGCATCACCAGCCTGTATTCATGTCACAGGGATGGCAGGAAGTCAAGTGACCACAATAGTTTGATCCCCCTGAATTAGCCTTCTGTTAAAGTGTTGGCATAGGCCTACTTCTAAACTCAATCTGAAAGCCATTACTTGCCCTCCTAAGAATCTAGTGTCCAGTGAATAGCTCCAGTGTCACACATCCTTAGAGTGCTCTCTGGAAAAGACAAACCATCTACAATTTTTGGCCAAAATGTACATGCATGCCCCCAAATCAACAACCAGACACTCATGTTCTTACTCACTCCAATGAACGTTTGTCCTTACCAATGCATTAGGCAAGAGGTGACAGACATTCTCTTCTCCTCAGAACAAGGGAAACAAGTAGCAGTGGCTTGGACTCTCCATCATGGTAGTGTCCAGGAGGAGTGGTCAAGCCTAGTGGCATACCAGTTTCTGGGCCCAGAGATCTCTGACTGCATCAGAGAAATATTTTGCTCCTATCACCTTCATTAAATAATTTCTCTGTCGGGGCGCCTGGGTGGCGCAGTCGGTTGAGCGTCCGACTTCAGCCAGGTCACGATCTCGCAGTCCAGGAGTTCGAGCCCCGCGTCGGGCTCTGGGCTGATGGCTCAGAGCCTGGAGCCTGTTTCCGATTCTGTGTCTCCCTCTCTCTCTGCCCCTCCCCCGTTCATGCTCTGTCTCTCTCTGTCCCAAAAATAAATAAACGTTGAAAAAAAAAAATTTCTCTGTCAATTAATTATATGCTACCTGAATTGTCTCATTTACTTTGTAATGTGTGTTATCTCTAGTCTCTCCAACTGAACTGTGAAATCTGAGGGCAGGGAGGGCTCTGATCCAACACTGCTTTGAATGTCCTGAATGACATCAGGACAGTGCCTGGCACCTAGAAGGCATTAAAAAAACAAACACCAAACAACAACAACAACAACAAACATGCTGGATGACTATTTACTGGCTTGTTTTCCTACTAAATTAGATTCTGATTTACATTAGAAAAAGAGAAAAGGTCGCCCAGAGTTGACTGGGAAGAGATGCCCAACAGGATTTGCAGGAGAACAGTTCAGCAAGCCCTATACTGCCTTGTGCTTCCCAAGGGGGCAGACATGTGAGCTGGCTGTCCTGTGGATCCTGTCAGGGAAGCCCAGCACTGTCCGAGGGCCTTTCTGACTTCTGGAACACAAGATTGCAAAATGTGGCAGGAAGGGCGTGCACTCAATCTAGTGAAGGACTGACAAAACATGGGAAATGGCAGCCTCGTTACACCCTCCTCTCCATCCTTTCTGAGGTGCTACGTGCCACGGAAATGGAAGAACAAATACATCAGTCACAATTTCCCATTGCCCAAGTCTTTGAACTCCGACTTCAAACAGGCCAACTTTACATTGCATGAAGTGTAATGATCTCTGGTCCCTGTGACAAGACAACTCTTGGCATATGCTTAATTTTTGCTCAGGGAGTTACTTATGGGAGGCAGGCAAGCCTGGAGCATTTCTTTCCACAGCTGTTAACACCCCCAGTGTGCCCTCCCCAGGACGGCTCTAAGGGTGAGTGTTGTCCCAGAGTACCATTACCTGCAGACCAAAGCCCAAGAAGGACCCAAGAGGAGAACAGTGACACACAAGACACCACCCAGAGGGAGATATATCCTACCCTTGCTATCGTCTGACTATCCGTACCTAGAGCCTTCACAGATATTTGCCGGGTAAGTGGAGGGGGGATATTGATGCACACAAGATCCACGTCTTGATGCAGCAAGACATCATCGGTCCGGCTGGTGTAGAAGGTGATGTTCATCTCCTCGGCAAGCTGCTTTGCTTCCTCCTCAGTCTTCCCCCACAGGGCCTCCACGGTGAACCCTTCTGCCCTCAGCAGTGGGACCAGAACCCGGGCAGAGCTGCCAGTCCCAAACACGCCCACTCCTGGGAGCATCTTCATGCCGGCTTCTCTGTTCACCAACTCATCTCCTCACAAGAGCCTCCAGCATGAATACGACCTTCCCACAGTCCTGGTCAAACATGGCTCCTGGAACAGCAAGCATTATACTGGCTATTAGTGGATGGCATACTCAGCCGAGGCTATCTTCTGGACTTATTTGGAAGCAACAAGTTCTCTGCCACAAAAGCACAAATGAAATACTGCTCCAAAATGAAAAGCTGCAAAAGCTTTTCCCATGGAGACTTAAGGATATTAGCAATATACATCTACTGAAAGGAAGAAAAATGAAAAATGAGTAAAGCTGGGTTAAATCTCTGTTCTGTTACTTAATGTTTTGTGTGACTCTGGTCCAATCATTTAACCATCAGGGCCTTAACTGTAAAAGTTCATGATTCTATGATATTAGATTAGAAAAAGGAAAAGAGGAGTGGGAAACAAAAACCAATACAAGTTGGAAGAGAACTACCTAAGTGCTATACAGATTATAATTTAAAAGTTTATGGTAGCAAGCATAGAGAATGTTCACTAGAAACAAACAAAAATTTTTTTTTAACTACCAAACTGGCAATAATAGTAACAGGAAGTTTAAAATGGTATTTTTTGTATAAGGATATTCACTCCAACATTGGCTATGATAGGTGAAAAACTGGGAAACAATCTAGATGCTGAATAACAGTAATGGGTAAGATAAATAACATTATGCAGTCATTGAAAACCAAGGGGATAGAAAGCCCTCAATGACCTGCAAGACATCACCATATGTTCACTGAAAAGAGGGAAAACAAAACAATATGTGAAGTATGATATCCATTTTTTTAAAGCACAGAAAAAAATAAATATATATGAATGAAAACATGTAAGGATATCTATAATATTATCTGTAAATATATTTCACACATGACACTAGAAGGACCAGAATACACCTGAATTTAATAATGGTTACTCTAATTATGAGATTATGGATGAATCTTGCTTTTCAAACATTGCCAAATTTTATACAATGAATATGTCTTACTGTGGAATTTTTCCTTCTGATCACAAGGGTTATTAAATGAAATAACAAACAAACAAAAGTCTTCTTGGAAACCAAGATGAGATTTAGGTGTGCTTAGGGTATCAGGTTTCCCCATACAGCAGCCCCTCTGCTAAACCAGTGGTACCCACTCTGGCTGTGTGTTAGGTCAATGGTAACTCCATACCCACTGAGTCATATAAAGGGATGAAGCTGTGTCACTGTCATTTTCTTTTCATAGTAAATTAAATTCTTTTTTTGTGTGTGGTAAAATACACATAAAATTTACCATCTTAAACTTTTTTTTTTTTTTTTTTTTTAGAGAGAAAGAGAGAGAGAGCGAGAGAGCGAGCACAAGTTGGGGAGTGGAGTAGGGCCAGGGGGGAGAGAGAATCTTAAGCAGGCTCCATGCTCAGTGGGGAGCCCCACAAGGGGCTCGATCTCATGACTATGAGATCATGACCTGAGCTGAAATCAAGTCGGATGCTAACCCAACTAAGCCACCCAGGCACTCCTTAACACATTTTTTAAATTTTAACTTTTTAAATGTTTATTTATTTTGACACAGAGAGAGAGAGGAAGAATAAGAGAGACGGAGAACGAGCAGGGGAGGGACAGAGATGGAGAGAGGATCCCAAGCAGGTTCCGCTCTGTCAGTGCAGAGCCCAACATGGGGCTCGAACCAACAAACTGCACGATCATGACCTGAGACAAAATCAACAGTTGGATGTTCAACTGACTGAGCCACCCAGGTGCCCCAAATTTTAATTTAAGTAGGCTCCACACCCAGTGCAGAGCCCAACACGGGGCTTGAACTCACAACCCTGAGATCATAACCTGAGCTGAGATCAAGAGTCAGACACTTAATTTACTGAGCCCCCCCAGGTGTCCCATCTTAACTATTTTTAAGTGTACAGGTTCAGTGATACATTCATATTGTGCAACCATCACCACCACCTACCTCCAAAACTTTTCTTCTTGCAAAACTGAAACTCTATACTCATTAAACAGTAACTCCTCCTTCCAGTCCCTCTCCCTAGTCACTGTATGTATGTATGTGTGTGTGTGTGTGTGTGTGTGTGTGTATATATATATATATATTTTTTTTTTTTTTAAGTAATCTGTACACCCAACATGGGCTTCAAACCCAAGACCCTATTACCTCAAGATCAAGAGTCATATGCTCTACTGACAGCAGCCAGGTGCTCTAACCATTCTACTTTCTGTCTCTATGACTCTGACTATGCTAGGTACCTCATAGAAGGGGAGTCATAGTGTTTGTTTTTTTGTGATTGGCTTATTTCACTTAGCATAATGTCCTCAAAGTTCATCCATGTTTTAGCATGTGTCAGAACTTCCTCCCCTTTTAAATTCAAATAATATTCCATTCCATATGTATATACCACATTTTACTTATCCATTCATCTGTTCAGACACTTGGGTTGCTTCTGTATTTTAGCTACAACAGATAACGCGGCTATGAACATGGGTGTTCAAATACCTCTTCAAGATCCTGCTTTCAATTCTTTTGCATTTATACCCCGAAGTAGAATTGCTAGATCATACGGTAGATTTTTAAGTTTTTGAGGAACCACCATACTGTTTCCTATTGGGGCTGTACCATTTTAACGTTTTTGTTTTTGTTTTTGTTTTTTTTTTAAGTTTTTGAGACAGAGAGAGAGCATGAACAGGGGAGGGTCAGAGAGAGGGAGACACAGAAGCCGAAGCGGGCTCCAGGCTCTGAGCTGTCAGCACAGAGCCGGACGTGGGGCTCGAACTCACGAACCGTGAGATCATGACCTGAGCCGAAGTCGGAAGCTTAACCGACTGAGCCACCCAAGCGCCTCTATAAAGTCCAGATTCTTAAACAGCACCTGCCTGGGTAGCTCAGTTGGTTGAGTGTCCGACTCTTGATTTTGGCTCAGGTCATGATCCCAGGGTTGTGGGGTTGAGCCCCTCGTCAGGCTCCAAGCTCAGTGTGGAGCCTGCTTAAGATTCTCTCTGTCTCCCTCTGTCCCTCTCACCCATTTGCATTCTCTAATAATAATAATAATAATAATAATAATAATAATAATATTAAATAAAATAAAATGTATCCTTAAAACAAACAAACAAACAAACAAACAAACAAAACACTTCACAAAGTCCAGATTCTTCAGTATGACTTATAAGGTCCTGCATGATCCAGAAATCTTCAGACAGGTCTAGCTTTGTACAGGGTCACTTTCAAAGATTATCTCAAAGAGAAATGGGTTTCAAAACACATACTTAAATAACAGAGTAAGAAGAACACTCTGCAAAATTGTCAGGTATAAATCAACTAAAAGTTGGGGAGACAGTTACTCAAAATCACAAAAATGGCTTCAGAGTAACTGATGAAGAGTATGTTTTTTCTTTCTGAGAAAATTAAATAGTGGAGAACAGTTGTTTATTTGGACCCTTTTATATCATATTAAAAAGCATATCATCTCACAAAAACTTGTACATGAATGTTCATAGGACAATCTTTCTTAATAGCCAAAAAGTTGACACCCAATGTCTATCAACTGCTGAATGGGTAAACAAAATGTGGTATATCCATGCAATGTAGTATTCTTCAACCACAAAAAGTAATGAAGTACTGATACAAATTACAACAAGGATGAACCTTCATTATGCTAAGTGAAAGATGCTAGTCACAGAAGGCCATTTATTGTATGATTCCATTTATAGAAAATGTTCAGAACAGGCAATCCATGAAGACAGAAAGTAAATTAGTGGCAGGGGATAGTGGGGATGGAGGATTTGGGAGGTATGGGGGGGGTGTCCAACTTTATTCTTCCTCATGAGGTTATTCAGTACCACTTGTTGAAGAGACTATTCTTTCCCCTGAATGATTCTGATATCTTTGTTGAAAAACAGTTGACCATAAATGTATGGGTTTATATACAGACTCTCAATTTTATTTCACTGCTCAATTTGTCTGTCCTTATGCTAGTACCACCCTGTCTTGATTACTTTAGCTTTACAGTAAGTTCTGAAGTCAGTGTGAGTCTTCCAACTTTGTTCTTTTTCAATATTGTTCTTGCTATTCTGGGTCCTTTGCATTTTCCTATAAAATCTAGGTTCAATCTGGGATTTTGGTAGAGATTGCTTTGAATCTGTAGATCAATTTGGGGAACGCTGTCATCATAATATTAGGTTTTCTGATCCATGAACACAGTATGCTTTTCCATTTACTTAGGTCTTTAATTTCTTTCAATGATATTCTATAGTTTTTAGAGAGTAACACACTTTTTGGTTAAATTTTTTTCTAAGTATTTAATTTTGTTTGATGCTATTGTAAATGGAATTGTTTTCTTAATTTCATTTCAGTTCTTTTGCTTCTAGTATAGATACAAATGTACTATGTAAACTACATGTCTATCTTAGGGGTTGGTTGGCTGGTACTGCCTAATACAGCATCCTATACTGCTTGACCCTACCTGAACGACACCTGTGCCTCTGTGAACCACTGAAACAAGCATGACTGGGGCTAACTCCAGACCCCAGTCAGCTTCCTGTGCTCCTGTCTCTATCCTCTGGGGCTGTGGATCTTGGCTTGCCTCCTGTACTCTACCATTGGGTTTTATCTTAATCATCTTTCTTTCTAATAATGATGAATAATGTCTGTGGACTCTCAGCTATGTCTCTTTCCTCTTTGCTGATTAATTCTGCCCTTAGAGGCTTCCTTTCTAGTTAGAAACAGGTAAGTCACATAGTATTTTCTATAATTATCATGTCCTGGACTTCTCCTCTTCAGCTATTTTGGTCACCTTCTGCATTTGCAGTTTGTTATTGTTTTTGTTGTTGTTGTTTTTCTACTTTCAGATCATGGATATTCTGGGAGCCTGAGTGTCAAATCTGTAGCACTAGACAAGTAAGGTTCTGCATAAATTTTATGGGTCATTAATTACCAACAGCTATAAGGGCCAGAGGAGTGAAACACAGCCACTACCACTTCATTCCTTCATGCTGTAGTTATATGTGGATGTATGTTTGCATGGGTGGTTTATTTTTATTTATTTATTTATTTTTTTTAATTTTCTTTTTTTTT